TTCTCATCGAATTCGCCACTCTTTATCTGCCTTGATTTCAAACTTTTTAGCCTCTTTATTGAATAGAGGTAAACGGAATTCTGTGGGATTTGTATTGGGGGAATGTGGACTAATGGCTATCTTATGGCTATAGGCCGTAGGAATCTCCTGATTGTTGTTGGGTGGCTGGTGATCTAAACCCCCCCCCCCTCTGTTTGATAGGTTAAACGAAAACAACAACGTGCTAGAAAGATATATATTTAATCTTAAGCTTCAAGCTTTATACATTTGGAACTACAGTTGTGTGTATATTACTCTGTACTAGTATTCATTCGGTTCATATATTAGAGTGATATTATTATCTCTCTGCTGATGCGTGCTGTTTATAAGTAGTACAGATATAAAGTATAACTGATGATAAGTCTTTTTAATCTTAACAATTAGCACTGCTTCCCAGTCAGTTCATTACATACTAGTATATAATATATCACAGTAAGAGATATTAAAGTGTGAAGACTCCATGATACTGACATCTTCATCTCTACTCTTACAGCAGAGCCAGGAATGATTGTAGGCAATGAAAATGTACACACTATACTACTATCTATACCAACTCTGGAATGTGTGATTAGCTGAGTACTGCTTATCAGTAGTGATTCCTTATTCAACATCTATGCATGTACAGAGTACTATTTACAAGCAGCACTTGTCAGTTGAAGTCTACTCTTATGATAACGAAGAAGCTGACTATTCAGAAAATGATAAATTTTGATTTTTATAAAGACGTAGTCAGCCGTATAGATAGTTATATGGACAATAAATCATTGCATATGTTAGAAGTTTACATGATAAACTTGTTGTCGTTATAACTATCTGTTGACAAGTCTTCTAAACAGATGATGTGGGTTTAAAGACTTGTGATCTGAAGTCTGAGTGCCAACTTAGACACCAAGGCAAAACGGTATTTACTTGAGCTCTGGGACTGAGACATCCATTTATATTTCTCTAATACTGCGAAGCTTTCTGGGATGAATCTATAAAAGCGTTGCTTCAAGTGGGTCCAGCCGCTGCCAATCTGTGGGTACGCAATTGAAGTCAGGGCCTTTTTAAAGTCAATTTAACCCTACCTCTAAGCTAGCCGAAAACCTCTGAAATTGCCAAACAAGCCCCTCATCCTCTCTATACTCCATGTTTTCCTAACGGAGGGCGTGAATTGCTGCTTAGAAATCACGATGGTACTGTGGAGAAAGCCGTGGGCTATCGGGTCAGAGGCCAGCTTGTTCAATTAAATCTGGGTACGGTCAGGTTGCCGTTGGTTCTCTGTGATTTTTACAATATGTGCTTGATAATCCATGTATGCGTTGACCTTTCGCCTTACAATATATTTCATCAACATTAAAGTAACACACACACACACACACACACACACACACAAGTAGGGTTATTTCTAAGAGTAACAATGTGTAGTCACACATGA